CCAAGTGCCTATCGGAATGTGGTTTGAAGGGAGTGGTGGAGTGTCCTGGGGTGAGAAAACTAAAACACAAATGGTCACCCTGGCATCGGTGGGCTGCAGAGTGAGTCGAGCACTCTTGCTCGGGTGCTCACGCACAGCACAACGTACGAGGCACAGCCCACACAAAGGAAGGGAAACACGGGGGCTGCATACAACCACGGGTATGTTCCTGTGCCCTCGCCCAGAGGATGGAGTGTGCTGCAGCAAAGCGGCTGGTCATCCCCGCCCCCCTCGTATCGCCATGCCAGCACCCACACAGTCGACTCCTCTCCCCACCACCACCGACGCCCCCCCCACCTGATGGCGCAGGCGTCCCCCGGCACGCGGCCCGGCAGCTCGGCCACGGTCTCACGCAGGCCGTGCCCCGTCAGCGAGGCGCCGGTGGCGGTGGCGAGGGGCGGCAGCGTCGCGTCGCGGGCGAGGCCCACGAGGCGCGCGCTGCCGCCCTGCGGCGCCGCCTCGGCGAGCAGGAGCACGCCCTCGGCCGCGCAGGCAGCCGCCACACGCTCGCCCTGCGTCCTGATCCCGGGCACGGCGCCGGGGTCGCGGCGGCTGGCGCGCGGCGCGGGAGGCGCGGGGCGCGCGAACTCGGCGCGAAGGCGGTCAGGGCGCGTGGCAGCGCCTGCGGTACCGGAGCCCCACTGCGCGGCGCTGACCGACCAGTACACGCGGTGGCCCTCGCCGGTGACGGTGAGCAGGGCCAGGCGCGAGGACTCCGCCCGCGGCACGACGGCCATGGCGGCGACGCCGGTGGTGGCAGACGCCGGCGCTGCCCCTGGCGCGCCGCCCCCGCCGCCGCCCCGGCCAAAGGTCTCCCGCCCGCCGCTGGCGCGCAGCGCATCGGCGGCAAAGTCCGAGCAGACGGCGGCGCGGGCGGGGGCGGCACGGCCGTCGGGCCCGAGGTCATACACTGCGAGGCGGGAGGCGGCGTCACGCGTGTAGAGGATGTGCCGCTCCTCGTCCACCAGCGCCTCCAGCAGGGGGGCCGGGGGGGGCACCAGGAAGGAGGGGAGGAAGGAGGGGAGGTAGGAGCGAACGCCCGCTGTGTGGCACACCTGCCAGAATCAGAGTGTGTGTGGACAGGTGTAAGGGCTGGGAATCCACAGGCTGAGACCCACAGGAAGGAACGGGAGCATGGACAGAGGTTGCGCACGGCACACCGTCACAAACAACACACCCGGGGCGCACCTTGGTGAGGGGCCGGCCGCCGCGCCAGCGCCCCGCCACACCGCTGCTGCTCTGGTACTGCAGCTCGTACAGGTTGCCGTCCGCGCCGCCGAGGAAGATGCGGCCACCGGCGGTACAGGTGACGGTGACGGTGGTGACGCCGTCGGAGGGCACGGAGAAGAGGGGCAGGGGGGCCAGGGTGAGCTGGTCCCACTCGTCCCCAGTGCCGCCCGGCGAGCGGCCGCAGCACGCCCCAACCAGCAGAATCTGGGTGGGGGGATGTGGGTGGAGGGAGTTTTATGGAGTGTGCCGAAGAGCAATGCAATGGAGCGTCTCGACCCATACCCCAGGGGTTGTAGTGACAGTGATTGCCAGTGGGGTGAGGCTGTCCAGGGAAAGACTGTGGATTCGGATCGAGCATGCCAGGCGCAGGATGCCTGGCAAGGACGGCTGGTCACACCGACAGCCCTCGGGCCTTCCTGGCACGAGGCAATCTCCATGTTACTCCCCTTTTCTCCCAAAAACAACCACTCCCCGATCGAGCACCTCGGTCGTGGTGCAGACCACGAGGACATGCTGTATGGCAGAGACAAAGACGCCTGGGCGAGCCGGAGCCAACCCCACGGCCACGATGGACTGGTCTTCGCCAGAGTATTCCATGGGCACGTCTTGCCTGTGGGGTGGAAAGGAGAAACATGGAGGGTGGGGTGGCGCGGCAGACGGGCATGGGTCACCTGCTCACGCCAGCGGTTTCCAAGGGCACCCCGAAGGGATCCGAGTGTGCGTCGGCGTGCCAGGCTGGCAAGACAGGTGCCGGAACCCAGCCGCTCACCAGCGATCAAAGCGCCAGAGGAAGAGGGAGCTGTCCACGGAAGCCCACGCACGGCGCAGCTCAGGGAACACGCCGCAGAAGGCTACTGTCTGGCAGGCGGCGAAGCGATCCAGGACCGCTGCCGGCATCTCCGACATGGTCGACGTGGTGTGGCGCAGTGCAGCGGGCCACTGCGTGCGAGGTGAGTGTGGGGAGGCTCAGAGGGGGAGGGAGCACGGCAGCGGGCCCTTAGTTAGAGGGGGGACTGCCCTCCTTCCGGCATACCCCTGGCTAGGGGACAGTGGCAGAAGGCTCCTGGTATGCTTAGGGGAACACCATGAACACATACTCAGCCACAAGGTCATGCCATGTAACTGGGTTCGGATGCCCTGCCTGCGTGCCTTCACGCCCTCCCTGCCAGCCATCACCTCTGGGGGAGCTGGCGAGTACTGGGTCTCTCGAAGGCTGTGCGACAAGAGGTCCCACAGGTCGCTAGACCTTCCCTCATCGCGACTGGAGACTGCCTTTACATGCTTCCAGGCCGATGCAACGGCCCCGACATCCCCAGCCTCATCTGCGCTGGTGCTGGCGTAGCGCTGTGATGGGCCGGGACTGCCGTCAGGCAATCCATCCGAAGCCCAGGCAACGGGTGGAGGGTGCTGAGCCTGCATCCTAACCCATGCCCTGATACGAGATCGATTGGGAGGGGGATGCAGAGGTAATCCCTATGGGTGCACACGAACGATGAAACCTCTGCCTCTGCAATGCGACCTGGAGTTTGCGCGCGGGAAGTGCAGAATTGAACGGGAAGACAGCTACGCCATGGACAAGGAAACCAGCGCGCACGCGCCACAGACATACAGCTGAGCATAGCGAACCAGGAAGGGAAATGAAATGGGCGACACTGCACGCAATTCGCAGTCACGGCAGAGAAGCAGCACAATGACACCGCTGGCTGAGAGCACGGCTCCCACCACGGACACTGTGACGGTCTCGGAACTCCTCCAACTCGATCCCAGCGCCTTCATTGAGGACTTACACAACGCGGTAATGGTCGTTCATGCGTTTTGGGATGCTGAAATGTTCCAGCATGTACTGCCTGCTTCCGACACCCTCCAGCACCGTCCCCGCACAGGCCCACTGCCACTGCGCCGATGCCTTTGACGACTTGGATGAGTAAGTACGAGCAAGGGGGCTCTGCATCGCTACAGCACACCTTGCTTGCAGTCTGGTTGGATCTCAACTCCTTCATCCTCCTGTTGTTGTCATGTCTGTCCCCAGCCAACGTTGCACTTTGCAAATGCCCAACACCTCACGACCTCCCCTGACAGAGCGATCCGCAACGATGTGGGCCCCGCCCTCTCCCCCGCTCAACAAGCAGCTGTGATGCAAGGGACGGCGCAGCTGTACAACCTAGCGCGCGGCAGCCTGGATCGTCAACTGCAGCGATTTGAGGAGTTTGCGCTGGAGACCTGCCTGCGAGTGCCCGCTGGCCTCATGGCCTCTGTTCAGGTGATGGAGAAGACTCGCCTGCGAGTGCACACAAGCGGCAGATGTTTTTCTCTGTGCTTGAGCGATTAGCGTTGCTGACCTGAAACCCTTTCCCCACCCAAAACAGATCCAGGCACCAGTCGTCGACGTGGAGGCGCCCTGTGTGGAGGAGGAGGAGGGGGTGATCCAGCGATTGGGCAGCCTCCGGGCGCAAATCCTAGAAGAAAGGGAGAAGATGCTCACGCTGCAGCGCCAGCTGGCCGCCTGCGACGCGGCGCTGGCAGAGGTGGGTGGCGAGGAGGCGGGTCTGCGCCAGCTGGCGTCTGCCGTCCGCGAGAAGGAGAGGCTGACCGAGGATGTGTTTGTGCTGTCGCACACGGGCGCCAGGCTGCAGGTTTGTGGACCTGGCAGTGTCTGCGCGGCGGTGTTTGGATATGGATGCTAGGCTGTGGTGGGAGGGGGGTGCACAGCACGACACCACAGGGCACCCCTCCCTGTGCTGGGATGAGCATGGGGGACTTGCAGTATAGGGAAGCTGCTGGGAAGTGACAGGATGGCATGTGTTCCACACCTACTTCAACCGGTCCTCGGGACAATCAGTGTATGCCTCCACCATTTCTGCGCCAGAGGCTCCTGGGAGACTTACAGAGGCTGTCTGTGGCCAGGCATCAAGGGCAGGAATCTGAAGGCAGGTTTGGCGGTACGTCATCAAACTGTCTCTGTGTGTCCGCTTGTCTGTGCACACAGGCCCCCCCCATCTTACCTCGACAAGCGTGCAAGCCACGGCCTGAACCTCACCTCGATCCTTGCCCTCAACCCAGATTCTCTCCATGGCGCTTTGAACCTGATGCAAGCTGCTCCGGTGGAGAGCCTGCAGGCCCTGCACAAGGCGCTGGTGGCATGAGCCTGAAGATGGTCGTCGCCCAGGGAGCACATGGTCGGCGGAAGTGCATGCTGGTGTGCACAGATGGCACACAGGCCCCTGTCCCCTCGCATGAGCACTGGGCGCGGGGTCTCACTGTATCAACTCAACAAGCGTTACATGGTGCCTGCACTTGGCTGTATGAAAGGAAAGGCAGGACTGTCAACATCATCGCATGAGCGTGTCATTAGTCATCAGATGGTTTCCAAGGCACTGGGGTGATGGGATTCGAGGCTTGGCCTCTGTTGCTCAGGTCTTGGACTTTGAAAATGAGAAGCGGGGAGGGCTCGCTGCCCTCCAGCCGCGCTCAGCGCTCGGTCCTTTACATGACAGAGCAGCCGCAGAAGCCCTTGGACTTCTGAGCGTCAGGACCCCCGGCCGTACCCGCGCCAGGCTGGGTCTGCAGGTCGGCCCCCGTCGCAGGAGTGGTCTCTTGGCCGGGCACGCCGGCCTCACGTGCAGCGGTGAGGCCGGGGTTCTCCGCCCCAGCATCATGGGCTGGACCGCCCTCGCTGACCGGCAGGCTGGCAGGAGGGACGCCGCCAATCACACCACCTTCCGCGGCGACGGGACCGGCACCCCCCCCAAAGCCGCCCGCATCAGTGGTCTGGGCGGCACTCTGTTCCACTCCGCCGAACCCTGTCGTCTCCACTGGACCGCCGTACCCGCTCGGGTCTACGACCGCTGTCTGCCCGACGTTTCCGTAGCCTCCTGCGAGGAGCGATGGGGCCACATGGCGTCTCCGTGAGCATGCAGTCGCTTACTTTGGGACATTACATGAGATGTGGCATGTCTCTCACCCGTGTCAGCCGGCTGTTGCACGGACTGGACGTAGTCCACACCACCACCGCCTGTGTTGCCAGAAAGGCTCATAGTTTGGAACTGACCCACCGGTCTCGACTTTGAGACTCGGAATATTTCCAAGTGAATATTTCACTATAATCTGGCTGCAGACTGCACAACAAGTGCCCTCCTTTGCACTTTCGCAGGTCCCGAGTTCAAAGATCTCGGCTGGATCCCCTCGGATCGCCCGTTTGGCGAACGGGGCGGCATGGTCTCAAACTATGCTCCTGGGGCCACCACCGGTCCGCCGTCGCAATACTCTGTCGAATCTGAATTCTTGGGGGAGAAATGGTATGATTGCACGCTGATCGTCACCTGTCTTTCTAAAGATGTGAATGTCTCGGCGGGCCGTTTCCTCAGGTCGCCCTGCAGGCATTTCAGCGGGGGCATGCGCGAGCACAGCACTTGGTTGTCCTCGTGCACGAACAGAGTGATCACCATCTCTTCTATACTTCATTTATAAAGTAATATGCTTCCGACTGGACGCATGAGCACGTGCGGAGGGCGCAATTACCTCGAATTCTCTCGTGGGGATGCAAGACCTTAAGGGACACATTGGTGGGGCTGTTTGAAACCCTAATCTGACAAGAGCAGCTCGTTGTACACGCTCGTCTGCCAGGGTGCATGCAAGTATACCCAAGGCCAGCAGACAGTCACAGCAGAAAGTTGCCATCTTGACCGAGAGCAAGCGTGCCTCCTTTGTCAAGCGGCCGCTCCTATGTGTCCTGCTTACGCGGCGGACGAAATACAGCCCGCTGCCTCGTGCTGAGGAGCGGCTTCAAGGCCTTCCTGGGCAGATCCCCCGCATTGCCACCATCCGAGAGGACATTCTCGGAGATTGGGGCCAGCACCGGGCGGGGGAGTGCCGCTCGTTGTGCCAGCGCAGGTGCCTCCTCTGCCCCATGCGCATCCTCTGGCACGGCCGGTGCTTCCGGGACGGACCCTGGGGCGCCCTCCTCAACAGCAGGCCACCGTCTCCGCTTGGGGAGGCGCGGGATGACGGGAATCATACTGTGCGCAGCCGACCCTGCCGCTGGGAGTGGCGAGGGAGCAAGATGTAAAAGCCCGCAATCCGCGCCCTGATCGCCGACGCCCTCGCTCCCGTTCCGCCCGCTCCCAGTCTCCCCTCCCTCCTCGTCGTCCTGCCCTTCGCCGCCGGGCCGGGGTCGACCCGCCGTCGCCGCCATGGCCGCGGCGACCCTGGCCGCCAGGCACGCCGTGCGCTCCAGCTTTCGTTCCACGGCCCCCAGCATCCGACGCACCGCCTGGTATGGCGTGGCACGAGGGGTTGGTGCGGCAGCGAGCGTCTACCATTCTTCGCAGCGAATCCCCGTCCCTCAATCTCGCCAGTGCGCCACGCGGCTGTCGTTGGGCCCTCACGCCAGCTTCACGTTCGCCCCCCCGTCCCCAGAAGCCACCCCCACCACCCTTCCCACCGCCCTCCCTCCCCACCTGCGCGTCTGTGCAAACGTCGCACGACTCCTCGCCCTGCGCGGGCGTGCAGCATGTGCCCCGCCGCTCCCCAAAGTAGGCCAGCAGGGCTTTCCGACGGCACCGGGCACCCTGCACGAGCCCCTTGTGAAGGTCTGTGGAACGAGAGGCCACAGAGCGCAGTCTTGCCCTGGGGTCTCAGGCCGGCTCGCGCCGCGCCCCCGACGATGGCCCATGATGTCCCTGCTGAGGCCCCTACCACTACCAATCGCCAGGCCCTGCTGCGCCTCAAGCCCCTGCCAGACCCACCCGCTCCCCCAACCAGGGGCAGGCACCTGCACGATGGCGGCAACCTCTGCCATGGCTCCGCGCCGCTCCCCCCTTTCCAGGCGCGCAGCCTCCTGCATCTCTTTATCGGAGGCGTAGAGCAGGCTGCAGCAGGGCAGGCCGTCCCGCCCCGCTCTGCAGGGGTATGGGTTGGAGGGGGATGAGGATGAGGGCAGAAGGATTGAGGGCAAGAGCAGGCAGGCCCCCTGCATGGCATCCCGTCGGCCAGGGACGCTGCCGCCCACCCAGGTGGAAGTTGGTGTGCCTCCAGCAATCAGCCGGTCCTCCATCTTCCTCTAACCCAGCCATGGCTTGCAGATGATGCTGCCGCCAGGTCCAGAGAATCCCGACCTCCCAGGCCCCTCCACCCACCAAAACACCCCCCTCTGGCAGCAGCCTCACCTCCCTGACTCCTGGTAAAACCCCTCCAGGCTGCTGGGCACCTCCCAGTGCACCACCCAGCGCACGTCGGCCTTATCGATGCCCATGCCAAAGGCGATGGTGGCCACCACCACGGGGCAGCCGCCCTCCATCCAGTCGCGCTGGACGGCGGCGCGCCGCGGCGCATCCTTGCCCGCGTGGTAGGACGAGGCGTCCACCCCCGCGTCCCCCAGCACGCCTGCCAGCCAGTCGCAGGTGGCGCGCGTCCGGGCGTAGATGACGCCGGACTGGCCGGCGCGCGGCGCCAGCCAGGCCACAAGGTCGGCGAGTAGGGCTTCGCGGGAGCCGTCGCCCAGGACCTCCTTCCTCCGCACCGAGTACTGGCTGGGTGCAGGGGGCAAGGGGCCAGGGGTTAGGGTGCAGGGTGCAGGGCGGTGCAGGGAAGGGGGTGTTTAAGGAAAGGAGAAGACGAGCAGGAACCTCCTATCCCAGGAACTCCTTGCCGGATGCCAAAGGACATGCAAGCAGGGAGCAGCGCGCCTCCCGGGGCACTGGGCAACCTCACATGTTGGGACGATTGAAGGAGCCTTGGAAGACGATGGGGTCCTGCATGCCCAGAGACTCTGTGCGAGGGGAGGCATCTCCCCATGAGCAGTGATGCGGAGAATCGGAAGCTATCATGCACGGATCACGATGCATGCTGTCGCGCAGAGCAGGTGGTGGCATGCAGGAGCATGCAGCGGTGCGGTAGGGGACCCAGGTCCAGGTGCATGTTGCACACTCCTGGGCAGGGTCATGGCAGCACAAGCTCATCCACACCGACCACCCCATGCTCCCCTAAGAGAGAGGTGAGAAGCATCTCCACCTCCCCCACCTTTAATCCCGGCTTGCACGGGTGTGGTTGCCGTCGCGGTGACAGCGATAACGGGAACTCCGGGACACAGCGTGCGAAGGTTGACGAGCTCGAGGTAGGCTGGCCGGAAGTCTGTGGTGGTGTGAACTGCGAGCTTCGAGCAGAGCCATATACTGGAACCGTGCATGACATTGTTAGGGTGAGTAGCCAGACCCTTGTACCGAGTTAAACACACACTCATCATCCACCCACCATGGCCCCACTGGCTGACGCAGTGCGCCTCGTCAATGGCAAAGGAGACCAGGCTGCCCTCCTCGTGAGCAGCCTGCAAGAGCTCCCTGCGGCGAGTGATGGGAGCACACATGCAGCAGGCTGAGCCTATTGTTGCAGCCGGGCACATTTCACGACACTCGATTCCTGGTCGCCCC